TGGAGGTCGGTGGGAGGAGGGGGGGGGGTGCATGCGGCTGCGAGATCTCACTATGTCATGAAGGCTCGTCTGCTCCCCTCACCGGGATAATGTGGTATAGGTGTGCATAAGTAAGATCTTCCTATTCGCGTCAGGTCACCTCCTATGACGAGCAATCTTGCACGGGATAGCAAACCCATTTGATATTTGGCCCGAGAGCCTTTTCTGTTTGTTGATTCTTCTGTTCTACGCTCGCTATATCCCATCCTTTTTAACGTCACCACGAAACTTCTATTACTGATACTTGGACAGAAGTGCCTGCTCAGATCCCCCGTTCGACAACGAAATTTTGGGATGGTTTGTTAAACGTGCCGGATGATTAAGAACCATAGACGTACCATATGGGGAAACTGGGGGGGGGGGGTGCGAAGGAGAGGGGGTTGTGATAAGCAAACACTCTCCCTAACGTCAGGATGTGTCACGGATCGCGACCGATTTTCTGCACGAACTGTGCTAGGACCATTCGAAACTATCCCTCAGAATTCCCAACCTCGTATTGCTTCATGAACATTATTTCAATGGCAATCTATCCTCAGCTACAAATTTATCAAGAAAATGCAATACAACCAGGCACACGAGGAGGACCAAACTGCCTGAAAAACCAAATTTATTGACAAAAGAAATTCGTCTTTGGAGGTCTCATTTTTTGGAGCAGAGGAGGTGCCGTTTTCATCAATGGTGCTTATCACTCAGCATGGTCAAGTACCACAAGATCATAAATTTTGTATCTATTAGGTTGTCGCATCCGTTCTTATACACGACTTTTTTGTAAATATCTCAAAAACTAACCAGCCTGGAGATTAGAGGTATGCACCATCACCATTCACACTCGACGCCAGTGCTCAGGCAGCTTGTCGATTCCATCCTTCCAGAACGACGGAGGCTGGGCACTTGAAGAAGTCGTCGAGCGCCTTTATGACCTGATCCTTTGTTTCGAACTTTTTTCCGTCCAGATAGCGCTGCAGGTGGCTGGACAGCAAGTAGTCAGAAGGAGCGAGTCAGGGCTGTAGGGAGAGTGGCGACCATCAGCCATCCGTACTTCTCCAGTTTGGCCTGGGTCGCCTTTGCAATGTGAGGTCGGGCGTTGTCATGGTGGAAGTAGATTTCCGCATTCCTTCCACGAGTACGGTCGACGTGATCTTTCAATCCGCAGCTGGGTCACGTATGTGGAAGCGTCAATCGTCTGTCCCTTCTCCAGCAGCTCCCAGTACTCCATGCCTCTTCTGGATCAATAACAGGACAGGAGAACCTTTTTGGGGTGAAGGTCGTCTTTAGGGTGGCTTCTGGCTGTTCTCCTTTGTCGACCCACTGCCGCTTCCTCACAGGGTATCGTAGAGGACCCACTTCTCATCTCCAGTGATCATCGAGTTGAGAAAATGAAGCTCTTTTGGAAAGTGAGGAGCGAAGTGCAGGTGGTCACCCTCCTCGAGAGGTCATAAGCGGACAGTTCATGTGGGACCCATCGACCAAGCATTGCTACCTTGCCGAGCTTTCTTAGTCCACACCGTCGAATGATCATAGCTAAGCATGGTCGCCATTTCTCTGGTGGTGAGGTACGGGTCCTCCTCCACGGTGGAACGTAGTACTTCCAAATCCAACTCCATCGGCCGACCCGACCTCGGTGCATCTTCGACAGGAAAATCTCTTTTCTTGAATTTTGCGAACCAATTCTTGCATGTCATATAAGAGATGACGTCCTCACCGTATGTATCCACTAGCTTGGTATTGGCTTCCTTTGCATTCCAGCCGAAATCGTGGAGCAAAACCAAACAGTGGCGCAGGTACGTTTTGTAACAGTGCAAATTGTGCGACATTGTGTACTGCAAATGCAAGCTCGGTGAGTGATAGCTAGTGTAATGGAAGAGTATAATGTACACGTCACGCACACGTGAAGACGTAATACCAACATCCATGCGAACGAAATAAGAGAGGATCAAACATGTGTATAAGAACTTATGCGACAACCTAATAAATTAAACTCATTTTTGCCTGAGACATCGGACTACATATGTGCCGAATCATCCGACCTTGTTTGTTCTTGCCAAACAGGCTTATCAAAGTGAAGTCCTTTTTAGCCGTTTTCTTCTTTTTTTTTGCTCCAGAAGCCTGAAGATGGTATGAAGCAAAACTCAATATACACAATTCTCGACAGAGCTCCATGTCCCTACAACCATCACAACGTTGGCCAAAAGCGCTCTCGACCCGCCGGGTGAAGACTGTTGAACGCACTAAAAACTCTACTGCTCAGTACAATCTGTCGTTCAAGGCCCGCGCCCCTCCTCTTTACGGCCTCAGACTGTGTTCATACTTTGGCGTCCACCAGCGAAGCTTTCGAGCGCTCGTCAGCGTGAGCGACTAGGAAGTGCCGATAACATCTAGCAAATGGCAGCGTCCACCTGCGTCCGTCAGCGAACATCAGCGTCCGAGAGGTTAGGAAAGCATGGATATGCATCTATCAGCGTCAACCAGCGTCCACCAGCAACCAAGAGTACGGTATTGTGGGGTAGCAAGGTGCGGTTGCACACGCCGCAATTTCAAGACGCCTAATTCAGCTGTCTCCTTCCTCCTACTCCCACATACGCTACCAGCAGTCTGCTACCCCTACCTTCCCATAATCTCTACTCCTCGTCGCTGGTGGAGCCTGTTAGACGCTAAATCGATATTCATAGCTCTTCGAGACGCTGATGGTCGCTGGCGGACGCTGAGGAACGCTGGTAGACGCTAGACAAGTTTTCAGCGGATGTGGTAATCTAGGCACTTCATAAATGACTCCACAGCTGAAAGTAATCGCGTCCAAACGGCATTAGCCGCGTACCGATTCACATCGCACACGACAAGGTCCAGGTTCTACGGTGGCCGTTGTATAGTTTGTATGTAGCAGACTTATTTCGCACAACCCGAGGCTTCGAATAACATCTCCGCTGGAGCCCCCCCCCCCACCTCCCTTTCCCTTCAGGAGCAATCGTGTCACCTACCACTTACTATTCATGAGTAGAACTCTCGCGTAAGGCGTGCCAATATCACTGAGTCCATTGGAAATGCCCAAAAGACCAGGCGTATCCTTATACTGGAAGTGAGGAGATCATGTCTGTTGAAAAAGTTTTTGAGTTAGGTTTTCCTTTTCTTATTTTTTCTTTTTCTGTTCAGAGTAACCAAAACTACGGTAACAGCATAAAGTGATGGTGGAAAACATATACAGCTAACTGTGAGGAGGCATATGTATTACATGCCTTCCAAATAGCACATGTGGAACGGGTAAATTTCTTGGATTTTTAACCTCTACCACTTTTTACGGAATTTCCCGCAAATTTTTCTACTTTTCCCCAATGATTTTGCTGTCTAGAGGGCAGCGGCCAGGGACGACCCCCTGTGCTTCACACAACGCTGACTGTGAGGCCCGCAGATCCTTTTTATTGTGTTCTCTGTGATTTTTTTTTCTTCCCTGAACCCTAGAAAGTCACTTGGCGACTATATGATGGTGAGTGAACCCCACAATATGCCATCGTTTGGTTTGTTTAAGGAACACGAAAAAATTGATACGAAGATTCTTTATTACGGAACACATTACAACACATAAATTTTTTTTTATTGGTGTCACATCTGAAGGGTCGGCAACTAGAAAGACAGAGAAAACGTGGATAGTAGTAGCCTACTCCGTCTATAGAAACCAATTCTGGCAACACCTATAAACACTTAGGGGCTGTATGCTATACCTCCCCTCAGGGGGATATCCCTGGTAAATCCCCATCCCCTGCCGTTATCTCTACTGATGCTCCTCGTCTCTCTGGCTCTCGCCGCTCTGCATCCATAGTCTTTTGGGGCATGCTCTGAGTGATTATAGTACAGCGCGAGTATAATCGATACACGGGAGATTCTGCGAAAGTGGGGGGAGCAAAGATGCAGAGAAATCGATTGAGATAACGGCAGAGGGCGGAGGTTTGCAATTATAGCATACGGCCCCAGGTCTGATATTATCACAGCAGTGCTGGGTACTCTGACGGAGCAATCAACACGTCTTTTGTTTCAATAATCACTTTCTAAAATCGAAATAATCAAGCATAATACTCAATATCCATAAGCCTACTTTACAAACGAGTAAAATGAAATGGTTATTACATAATGAACTAGATACTACAAAGAATAACACTATAACGCTGTTATAACAGTTATTGTGAATTTAACATCGAATTTTTGCTAGATTTCAGATACAAAAAGAGAGTAGATAATCTATGGAAAATCGCGAGTCAAATAAAATTAGCTAGCATATAAAACTGCGCCCATACTTCGCGACACGAGCAATATAGTCCCGAAGAAACCGCGCTCTGCCGCTAGTTGGACCACTGCAACTACTAGCTCAACTGCATTCAGGAATAACAGTCGAAGCGGTTCAATAATTAGCAACAGAGCGGAGTTGGTCAATCGCGTGTAACGGAATCGCGAGTGATGAAGTATGAATGCTAGATGAGGAGTGAATGAATGCAGCTCATAACACCAGACGATGACTTTAGCATTAGAACAACACCCTTAGTCGATGTGAAAGCCGTATTTTTACATTTTACCCTGTACCGACTGTACAGTGCTATTTACCAAGGCTGTACAGAACGCAATAGCCCAAGAACCAGGACACAAGCTAGAATTGGCCCTTGACATGCAAAAATTTAAGGAACTAGATTCAGAAATGACAGCGATGGAAGATAGTCATTCATCACTATTATGACTAGGAAGTTTTTAGTCATATTCAACAAAGAAAGATCAGATTTCTCCCAAACATTAACGGTTATCGATCGGTGAACTTCTAAATTTACATGCAAGCTTTGTGATAATTAACCCGTCAAAAGTACAGCTTCGGCTAAGAAACCCAAGAAAAATTAACGAACTCAACAAAAAAGAACATAAAAATAAATGTGTTAGTTGGTTGTAGTTATAGCATTGAATTTCTAGGGATACCACCTACCACCTTCCTATTTGCGCTTCATATTCAACATTTTCATTGTCTTGATCATGAGAGCACCTTTCTTAGCAGGAGGTTTCTTCGGGCCACCTCTGTCCATTTTAGCGCCCACTGTCGAATTCTTATTCACTACAGCTTTCGGAAGAGCAGCCAGTGCATCTTTGCAGCCTATTGAAGATGTGGTTCGAATTCGGAACACAGCGAAACTTCTGCAGTCTGGTTCACTGCGGATGATGGGGCCTGTGTGCGCGGCTGCGTTTGGCAGCCACGCGGGCACGCCCCATCTTCCGCAGCGAACCAGCCTATGATTCCTCACCAACTCACCTCCAGTTTCAAATATTTTTCTACGTGCACTGGACACTTCTATTGCACTTGGAAGAGGTTTGGTGATGCCCGTACCATTCTGAATCTGTCGGCGCCTTATATAGCTCGGAGCAGCTGCATCGGCTAACAAAGCCTGGAAAAAAGTAAAACTTGTAACAAATCTAAGTCATAAGAAATGAGAAAACGCACTTTCCGAGGGGCATTCGCCGAATCTGACTGATGGTGCTTTCCAATACGCTGGCTTAGTTGCTTCAACTTCTTCTCTCTTTCCTTTTCCAAGAAACTATACAACTCTTTCCACGAATCACCATCTTCCGGTTCTTCCCCCGGATACTTTTTCGTCACAAAGCGTTGCCACAATTCACCGGAGTCTTCTTCCAGATACTGTAAACAAAAAAAAATGATTTCAATTAAGAAGCTCAAGTAGGCAAAGGCAGGGAAGCAGCAAAAAAGGCGTTCTTCAAAATCGGAACCAGCACGTCTCGCGTTCTTTGATGTTCAGACGTTTTCTATGGAAAAGATAGTCCTGCCTGCAGGGATAAAGGATGCACTGGTTTTGAAGCTCGAAAATACTTGGGAAAGGCGCCGCCTGAGCGCGACGAAACCATGGTCCCGCCTACTGACCATGTCGACGCCCAACTTTCACTTCTACAGATAACCTAATGGTGCGGCTCTTCCGCTACAAACTCTCTCTCTATTTCAAATAGTGAGGCTGAGGTGAGAGGGAGAACAGATGGCATCAGCAAGTGAGAATTCGTCCGACCACGCCCTTTCTTCGCCTTATGCACATACAAGCGCTGTTCAGCATGGGGTTCTATATTTGGCATTTGCGGCGGGTTTTTTCATTACTGAATCACTGACAACCTTTTTATCAGCTCTGAAGCCGCAACACAACCCCCATCTCAACAACTTTGTCCAACCACGCCCTCTTTGAACCGGTCGAGAGGGATTGGTCCTTCTTACCACACAAGCCTCGAGCCCCTAAGAAGCCAGTTAATCGATAGCAAACCTTTCTGAGGAATATTTGAGAATTCTGGCCCGGAACGTACAGAACAAGCCTTCCAACACCCATCCAATTTCAGCTGAGTGGTATCATTTGCCAAGGAGGACAATTCACTGGCATTTCTCCCGAAAACATTGCACATGGGTGAGGAGGTGGAGAAAAAGACTCACAGCTCATGAAGCATGGAAGTTTTGGGGACCAAGGTGTGTAGATACTCCAGACATTACCCTCACAACCAGATACCTCCCAATTCTAGCATCCTAGGCGCAAGATCTACTAGCGCCGTGGACAACCAAGCAAAAAAGCCATGAAAATTGAATTTTCAGCCATAGCGTGGTTACCCAAATTGTTTGGCAGCTGGTAGTTTACACGACCAGAGCTGCAGTCTTCGATACACGAATGACTTCACAGTGGAAATCGCGCAGTCGTTCATGTTGATGTGAATACGCTTCTTTATTTCTAATTGAAAAAACTGTTCAAAGTACTAATGTTTAGGCTCAGTAAACAAAGTGAGCAGTCACCTGATGCCTGGACTCTATGTGCGCAAGCGTTTCTGCGTTGCATTTCTCCAAAATCGGCTTGAGCACATCGTAGTTAATATACTCCGCGTAGTACAAAACTGAATTATGTGAAGATTAGGTAAAATTTATTATTTGAATTGAGAAAATCTCTGAAAATCACCCCTTATGTTGCTAGACAAGACACGAAGACAGAGATTGAAAAGAGACGGCATGCTTGCAGCTGTAACCTTTCTTCGACCAGCAAAAACTTTTCCACGCTCATTACGAGGTTTGAACATATTCTCCGGATTGAATTCGTCTTCTGAATCATGTAGATCACCAAGGTAATCAATAACTCTCCAAAATGGATCACTAACGTGGAGCTGGTGCCGGTTCTTTCGTAGCACGGAAGGTCTGTGGGAAGGGTTGGTAGTTGTTAAGCTGTAATACAATACTTTCAGCTATTGCTACACATTTACAACATTTGTCCATGTATATCTCGGAAAGTTCAAGTGAAATTTGACAATTTTTACTGTCAAGTGGAAGAGTACACGAGATGCACATCACTTGGATGGGTGACATCATCACACTAGCAAAGGATGTGCTGTGCCCTTCGAGCGAAAGTGACGCCCTGCAGAACCCACTGGGTAAATCTAGCACGTTCCAGGGGCGCATGGGCACGTTACTTGCAGAGAGACAAGCTCTACTCTCACCTTCGAGGACGGTCCTTCCCATGGGCGAGGTTAGCACCCACAACTGCCGTAGCGTGCCTTTTTCTCCGTTCAGAAGCGTACAGGAACGGGGCTGGAGAGTAGTGCCGCCTCTATCCGCTCGCGCTTTCCTCAGTGTGCACAACTTGATTCGTTGACAAGGTCCCCAGCAAAACACGCACCCGGCCTAGAGAACCGCCGGAAGGGAGAGAGCGCAGACAAGTGGCGCGTTTGGCTATGGTTAGGCTCGCGGCTACCATTACGGCACCGAGAGCAGAGTAAGGAGACGGTCCCCCGGAATCACTACCCTCCAGCCCCGTTGCCGTGCCATCGGAAAATAGCATACTGCACCCGTGGACCAATTCCTTCCACTAGAGACAATGATCCCACTGTGATCAGTAACGTACTGTTTGTCTTTGAGGAACTCTTTCGAAAAATTGAACCACATGCACTAGGGGTTACTTCAGAAAAAGGTGATGTAACAATCGTTGAGACGAATACCCCTACACTCACCAAAGGCATTTCTGCCCACTTCCAGTGCGGATCGCGAGGTTTACGGCTTTTTGTCGGAGTTGTATCGGCACTTTGTAGTATCGCCTCGAAATCTGTCGCAGTCTTCTGAAGTGGACAAACAGCTGATTAAGGCAACTGTACTTCTACCTATTTTCTCCTGTTCTCCCATATAATGTTAGATTCATTGATATCTTCACCGCTTCCTTTCGATTTCTCAGACCAGAAATCTGAAATCAATCGACAGATGGCCTAAGGGTGCTTTCATAATTGGCGTCAGCCTACGTCAAGTATGTTTCGAGCGTCGCCAGCGACAGCTACAAGGAAAGTACAGGTAGCAATCTAGCGCATGCTGGCATACGCTAAATCGTTGGTTGACGCTAAATAAATATCTATACTTGCCTCGTCGCTGACACTGGCGTACGCTCGAAACGCAGGCGTACGCTCACGCACAGTATGAACGCAGCCTAACAGTATTCATTGGATATCTGATCCCACGACAAGTTTGCTGTTAAGAAGAGCATCTTTCCACCCTCACAGTTCACGCCATCGTTCTGGGAACACCTTCAAGGGATCGTATTTGACCGTTGGGAAGGGCATCGAACCAAAACCTCTTGTTGAAGGCTATGTTTGTCGCCATTTCTCACATCGCAATGATGTACCCAATCAGGACACGTTCTCGTTGACGAAAATTTAGCAAAACACATCGTTCCTTCCCAGATTTCTCCTCTGTAGGGTCCCCTTACCTTTCCAACTCCCTGAGTGCTCTCCCACTTTTCCAAAGTCCCCCCCCCCGCCACCCACCCCCAGAAGACTACCGTCTACCACAGGGGGGGGGGGCAGGAGAATATATAGCGCCATCGAAACAGGCAAAAAATTAAAGAAAGCCAGCATTCGAGAAAGCAAAACCACCCCTCCCCGAGCAAACCAAATACGATCCCCAACTTGGCCTGTCCTGTAGCCATACATCCATGAGAGCTCTGAAATCACTTGACTTCTCGCCATTCCTGGCGCCTTATATGGACGATATTCCTATCTGAAGGCTGCAGTAAAAAAAAGAATTATTAGCTAAACCTTTCTAGAAATAATGGTCAAAAAAATATCCCATGAAAAATGTTTCCGACACAATGCTTAGGGTTTGACCCGGTCACAGGAATATTCCCGACAACTTGAAAAAGAAGCAGACACGGGCAGAAAAACTCCCACGGATAATGGTCCTCTCCTCCCTGCCAAAAAACCCACTACTGTTTCGTCTTTGGATATTCAGGGCAGCGAATATCTCTTTCTCAATGTTCATTATTTTTATGGGTGAAACAGCCATCAAAAGTATGTTAGAAAGGTAAAACACTCACGCTACGCTCTGTCGACTTCCCAGACTTGGACTTCGACGGCGAGGAACTATGAGTCTTGCTAGACTTTGACGCACGCTCTTCAGCTGGAGGACCTCCTTTATGAGATTTTTCATTACGAGACGACGTTTGTCTGGAACTGTTCGCATTCATAGCAAGCAAAACCTTTAACAGATTAGGTCTTCGGCAGTTTCAGTAGCCAGTGTTCAGACTTCGCGTTGGCGAGCGTCGACGCGCTGTAACGCGCTTCGTGGCGCTACAGCTGTAACAGCGCTCCGGTCCTATAGACACGAATGCGGCTACAAACGGAAATCGATCGGCACCGGGAGGGCATCCTGATCACGCAGACACGTATCGATCGGCACCGGTCACTATACCTCCGGAAGTGTGTAGAATAACGGGAGAGTACCAGATTGTGTGAAGGTAGCGCCTGTCCCTGTCATCCTATCATCCGAACACAAGCAACCCGCGCCAATCGACCGGCCTATAGCACTGGAGTGCTGTAGCGCGTCGAGCGCTTTATCAGGAGTCTGAACGCTGCCTTACGGCTACGGTGACCCTTTCGTGCCATGTTTTACCTGTTGCTCGATGACGAACAGCCTTTTTCTTCGACAGCATCTTCCGAATCCTCATCACTTGCTCTGAAATCAACATTCCCATGGATGTGCTAAACGCACCAAACAGAACCCTCGACAAACCTCTCAACGGAACCGTAATGACCATGATCGTCGTCACTGTCCTCAAGTTTTACGTGGCTACTTTCAGCCGGAGCCATGTGGCTGTCACTACCAGAATCTTTGTACTTGCTGTCAGAATAGTCATCCTCATCACCATATGATTTTCTTTTGCTAGAGGTTCCTTCTTCAACTTCTCTTCTCTTCCTTTTACGATCATAGTCGTCACCATGGCGATGTTTCTGTTGATCTACTTTACTCGTTTTACTGCCATGCTCAGATGTTTTCCTGCTCTCATCCTCGTCACGATGACGTCGCTTACGGTCTTCATCCCGTCGATGGGAATCAGAGCGAGATTTTTTCACATTATCCACATCCCTAGTGCTCTCAGAACGGTTTTGTTTCCTGTCATCCTCATGCCTACTGCGATGTTTCTCCCGATCACGCATTTCTGAATCGCCTCTTTGGTAATCGCTCCTTTCCCTATGATGCTGACTTCGTCTACTGTCATCATCATCACGGGTTCTTGCTTCTACGTCGTGAATACCATTCAGAGAACTCATTCTTTGGGTAGGTGGATTGCGATCAGCAGGTTCATCAGCCTCCGAACTACCGTCTTCTTCACCACCACGTACACCACTTTGTCGGGCCACCTCCTTCCACTTATCAATGATCCTCGATGCTTCACGACCGTATTCTGGGTCATCACACAATCTGAAAAGAAAACGGTTTAATCTTTGCAGATACGAAAGCACCATGGGTACTTCTAAAGACACCAGAGAGCCAACGGCCGACATGGGGGATTTTTTAAAGGCAGTTGGCACGATAAATCCCCCCAAGACGACTAGGATCAATACTCCTGGCAAAATAGAATTCTGTGACTCTGGGCAGGCGCTGCATAGCGGTTTCCCCGAGGGAGGTATCCCTATAAGGACCCTATCAAGCCACAACTTTACGTCCCAGACGCCCGCCGCGCCCGCCCGCCCACAAATGGACGACCGTTCCTGACGCTCGTATTCATTCATTTGCTAAGCAAATTATGAAGCGAAGGGATTGGTATGAAGCGGTTGTGATGCTGCATGCATACATGGGTACACATATGCAGCCGTACCTTCGGTTGCGGTGATTGGTAAGATGCTCACGGGAAACTCGTCCGAAACCGATTAACAAG